TTGATCCAGGATTTGCCATCGACGAAATACCCAAAAATTTGATCTATCTTCCAGTGGTGTGTAACGAAATAAATAATATTACTTTAACAGTATTGGACCAAGATTTCAATTTGGTTAATTTTCGAGGCGAAGAAATTATCATTAGATTGGAGCTTCGAAAAAATGGTCCTAGTGATTGGGGAATATAAAAGAGACATTCCTTCTACTGCATCATCAGTTGCAAAACGTCGTTCAACTAGAAAGTTGGGTGGAAAGTTAAATTCAATAAACCGTTATTTTCTCCAATCAATCGGCTATGTTATCAAACCGAGTGTTAGATCTTTACAAAACGCCGCTAAGCGATGATTCAATAAGTCGCATCGATTCTCATACTTATTTGCCTTACATCAAATCATTTGAGAATAATGATATCATTGAAATTTCAATTAATAGAAACGATGCGTGGGTGCTAATGCATGATGCAGCTTTATCGATAAGAGGAAAGTTAAAGAAAACTACTGGAGCTGGCAACGTTAAATTCGTCAACAATGCCGGCGCATTTTTCTTCGATTCAATCACGTATCTGTTGAATGGCATTGAGATGGAACACGTGAAAGATCCTGGTATTACGAGTCTAATTCGAGGCTATTTGTGCTATACTAAAGAAGATAGTAATCATTTAAATGTTGCCGGCTGGAATTATCCCGACGTTCCAGCAACTTATACAGATGGTGCATTCTTCATGAGAATTCCTCTTTATCATTTATTGGGGATTTTTACTGACTACAAAATGGCTATATCTGGAAAGCATACTTTACGTTTGGTGAGAGCTCGCAACGATGTCAATTGTATGCTAATCACTGGAGCTGATACTAAAGCAGAACTTTCAATAGAAAACATTGACTTAAAAGTGAAACATATCATTCCAAATGATAGTCTGAAAATACAACTTTTACAGTCTGTCAAGAGCGATCGGCCCATTTTAATTCCTTTTAGAAAATGGGAACTCCATGAATTACCTGCTCTTAACGTAGGCTCAACGAAAGAAATGTGGAGTGTGAAAACTACAACTAGTCTTGATTGCCCTCGATATGTCATAGTAGCTTTTCAACAGGATCGAAAAGATGATTTCAAAAAAGATACCTACAACAAAATTTGATAACCTCAATATATCCAATGTTAGATTATTTTTGAATGGAGAATATTATCCGTACGAGCGCCAAAATCTTGATTTTGGTAAAAAAGATTTCATTGATGCCCATTGCTCCTATACAGAATTCTATCCAAGCTTCACGAATACATCATTGATCGTTGGTGGTAGCCCTAAAAGATCTTTACTAGATTACGAAAAATTTTCTGAAAATTCTCTTTTCGTGATTGACTGTTCTCGACGTGATGAAAGCCTAAAATCCTCGGCGATCGATGTTAAAATTGAAATTGAAACAAGAACTGGTTTTCCCGATAAAACGAAAGCCTATTGTATCATCATTCATGATTGTATAATGGAACACCTGCCACTTAGCGAGATTGTTAGAAAAATTAATTAGTCTTTGTCTAGCAGTCCATCATGAAGGTTCTTTCGGTCGACATCCAGGGTTTTAACATTACCTCAAATAATAGCAGCAAATTTTTTGCTAAAGAAATGGCTATTACAAATGGACATCAAGCTAATCATTATTTATTTGAAATGCCGATAAAGTACTATTCCCTCTCAACCTACGATAAAAAGCATGTGAACTATGCAACGCATCAAGTGCATGGCCTTCTATTTGCAAAAGGTTACGTCACCTATGAAAAGATCAATGATATAATCAAGGAACAAATGTGTGATGCTGATATAGTTTATGTTCGAGGCCACCAGAAAAAGGACTTTCTCGATGAAAAAATTAGTAAATTTGATGATGGTCAAAAATACCCGAAAATAATTAACCTGGAAACTCTAGATGCCACCTGGACTTCTTCGATGACAAAGTTTAGTCAAGATATTCCAAAATGTATGAGTCATTTAACTGATAAGAATTATATGTGCAGTTTAAGAAATTGTTTTGTTATTCATAATTGGATTTCTGATTGTATGCCTATATAATTTCTAGAATTAAAATAAAATTTAAGTATGAAAAACGGTATTTTTATTTATTAGTATCAAATCAGCCATGGTTGCGTTAACATCAAGTTTTGTGCTCTTGACTGCATTAGTAAATGGTGTATTTTATATTCATCAACCTAGAAATGCACAAAGTGTCTTTATTTGTCTCAATAAGACAGATGAAACTTGGCCGCAAAATTGGGCTGAAATGAGAACGGGTTATGTTGAAAATGTCCCAATATTTTCCATAAAATTGTCTGACAAAGTGACCCAGTACAAGATAAGGATTTTATATCCTAATCGTACACACGGAGACAGTGACTGGAAGAAATTTACTATGCTCCCACCACCACCACCACCTCCGAAACACTTTGATGATATCAACTCAACAACAACACCAGCACCTCCAGCGATAGATTTCACCATCGTTGGATTAGTCTACTACATATCATTCGTAGCATCAGTACTGCTGCTTGAGTCAATAGTAAATTTTTCCTATACAAAATGGGTGCACGTCAGATAAAGCCTGAATATATCGATGAACTTCATGATTTAATTAATAATATTAGGTCTCCAACAAAGTTTAACAAGTATTTCATCAAGACGCTTAACACAAAGCTGAAAATACCAGAAGAAACGTTGATTGAATTAATGAAACCGTGCTGGGGACATAGACTTGATGCAAACGCTATTGGAGGCTATGACGTAATTGATGGTCCTGAATATTCATTTAAAATTGATTGTAAAACATGTGTAAATTTATTACTCAAAAATAAAAAATCATATATAGTTGCAAATTACTTGTGTGTTTTTCTATGTTATATTTAAAAAATGAGATAAAAAGGGTCTTCGATGTACTAAAACATGTTAGTATGCATTAAACTCTAGTGCAAGCATGAAGTGCCTTGAATTTTTATTATTTTGTCAGTTGTGCCGAATTAGTCTGAGCCTTGTTGAACCTCGTGATTTTCTAATTGCTTATGGTTATCTGAAAAATGAAACAGCAACCGATAACAGTACAGGTGTTAGTGCAGTAACTGATATATCGGAAGCTATAAGCGCTTTTCAAGAATTTTACCATCTGAAAGATATTGATGGCCAGGTCAATAATGAAACGCTAAACTTAATGTCTAGACCTCGCTGTGGTGTGCAAGATGTTCCTGAATCATTTACATTAAACGATGGTAGATGGACAAAAAGAACTTTAACTTGGCAGATTAATTATATTCCCTTTGGTTATGCGGCAAAGGAAATTCATGCTGTAGTGCAAAAGGCCTTCAAACTTTGGTCTGATGTAACAAATTTGAAATTCATCAATAATTGGTCCTCATCAAAACCGAATATAATGATATCATTTGGAACAAAACAGCATTCCTTCAACAGCAAATGTACAAAATCACCATGTAAATTTGATTTTGATGGAAAAGGACTGGTATTGGCTCATGCTTATCCTCCGACTGGTGACGATAATGATTGTATCGAGATTCATTTAGATAGAAGTGAAGATTGGTACTTTGGATTGGATGGAAAAATATCTAATTATGGTCAAACGAGTTTGCTGTGGGTATTAGGACATGAAATTGGACATACATTAGGATTAAGTCATTCGGATGAAACAAATTCCTTAATGTATGCATATTATGGTGACATTTCCAACTTAAGTACTGATGATGTTAGAGGAATTCAGCATCTGTATGGGAAAAAGCAAACACAGAATTCAGCTACCACAATTTCCACGCCTCCTTCTCATCCTAAAACTACTCCTCCTACTACTACTACTACCCATCGTAAAACGAGTACTCTTACTTCCTCTAAAAGTACTACTACTAGTACTACTACTACTACTCCATCATTGGTACCTGCACACAAACCTAAAAATTATCAGGATATTTGTAACGTAGATCCTAAAGACTTGCAATTTTTGGTATTGCATCACAAGCTATACATCATTAATAAAAATCGATTATGGATTATGGATTTGGAAACAAAAAACTTTACTACAAAGGACTTATCTATTCATTCAGTGTTACCGTTTTTACCTAAATTTGAGAAAATAACTGCGGTTTATCAAAGACCTTCCGAAGAAATAATAATAATTATTGAATCTGAAATATTCACCATCAATGATAAAAACTTCCAGTTAATTAGAAAATCAAACGTTTCGGAAACAATTGCTGCACAATTCAACAATAGGAAAATAATAGGTGCAGTAAATTCTTATGCTGGAAAAACTATTTACTTTTTCGAGGATAATTACTATTTACTAATAAATGAATGTAACCTTGCTGTGGAAAAATTTGGTTACATTTCGAAGGACTTTATTGGAATACCTGCATCTATGGATAGTGTTTTTAGATACATTAATGGGATGCTATACTTTTTCCAAAATGGCCGCTATTTCGAATATAATGAGTTTACAAATTCTTTGAAAACATCAGATAAAATTGATTTATCAAAATTTGATATTCAGTGTCCCAATTTAACTTTATATGAACAATTAAAAGAACTATTGACACGCCTATTATTAGTTACGTAAACAAAATGCAGCTCATCAGTCGTTCTCTAGAGACCATGAACTGCACACTTGCCGAGAGAATTCAAAATCACTTAGTAAATCTATCTAAATTGAAAAAAGACTTAGACTTCTATCAAGAAAAACAGTTACTATTCAAAAATTTTGAAAATTTAAAAATGGATTCAAAATGGGATCACGTATTCACATCAACATCTAGATTTGCAAATGGACCAGCAACAAGCAATCGGAGAATTATTCCAAAACCAGTTTATTATGAATTGAAATGAAGAAGAAAGCAAAGGACTGGCTATGGTGGATATGCGAACCATGGAAAAAATTTTTTGGAATGAAAATAGTCTTCATTCAATTTTAGAACATAAATATAACTTATGTGATATTTTTCCTAAATAAAAATCAAAATAGAAATTTAAACTGATTTATTTTCCTGTCCTAGAGTTAAACAATCATTAAATAATAAGTCTAAAGTCTCCTGCTCCATATTACAATCACTCTGAAATATCATCATCACTGTCGTACACCGTGATAATCCTAAAAACAAAATTTTAAGTTTATCATTTTTAGCTTTACAATTTCTACCTTAGATCTAAAGCCTCCTCCTGCTCCATATCACTTTCACTGTCCTGCACGGTGATAATCCTAAAAACAAAATTTTAGTTTATCATCCAAATCCAATCATCCAATTTCTACCTTAAGTCTAATGGTTCCTCCTCCTGCTCCCACAAATCGTTAAAAACTATTTGTTTAATTGGAATTGTGGGGTCTGGTCTAAAAATTTATATTTTAAATTAGAACAGCAATGTTTATTAATATTGTCAATGGAGACTTACAGTGAAACATCATCATCATCATCATCATCAACATTATCATCGTTTTCAGACTCCGAGTGATGATGATGATGGTTGCAGTAATCAAACGCTGGTGGTGAATATGACGGAGTACTTGGAGCTCTAAAAATATTTTTGTGGTTTAATTTAAAAAGCAATGTATATTGACACTATCAATAAATACTTACAGAAGGATTTCATCGTCTACCCAATAGTTAGGCGAAGGAATTTGTCCATAGGGAACAAACGGGCTTGGCCTACAATTTTTAATTTAAAAGCAATGTAAGTATATTAATATTATCAATAAATACTTACGGCATATCGATGTCATCGTTCACTTGCTTTAAAAATGGAGCCATTTTGGATTTTTTTTTTTATGTGTGTCTCAGACCAAAATAAGATTGAAACTACTATATCAATTACGAACAACAATAACTAACACTGAAGGCATAACCGCATTCCGTATTATTAATTCTTAAGATTAGGTTTAATCAAAACCACATAATTTTTCTTACAAAAACAGAATGTAACATCTGGTCACAACATGAAATGCGGTTTCTTATCAGTTTCCCAATAATATTTGCTACTTAAAAGTTAAAAATATTATTTGGATCTCGCCAGGAATTTAGGGTCTATGTTTAACTGGATATGTGTTGGTGTATGTGTGTGTGTGTGTGTGTGTGTGTGTGTGTGTGTGTGTGTGTGTGTGTGTGTGTGTGTGTGTGTGTGTGTGTGTGTGTGTGTGTGTGTGTGTGTGTGTGTGTGTGTGTGTGTGTGTGTGTGGGCGCGCGACCAAACTTGGAGCACTAACCTAGGACCGCGGTGAAATTGGCAACATCGCACTATTGACAACGTCGCATCTTAGGTTAGGGGAACGGCTCGGCTCGGGCCCCAGACCGATGACGTCACTCTTGGGTTAGACTCAATTTGGGGCTCACGTACAAAATGAGACCACCATATGGGAGCGGAGACCTTGAGACCCCTGGGGGCACCTGAGCCTGGGAACTTTTTCGATAGCGTGGGAAAATCTCTAGATCGGCGGCGCCTTTGATATGAAATTTCGGGGATTTGACCCGGGCCAATCCCAAATTTTTTGAGGTTTTTCCGAAATTTCAGGACCGCGGTGAAATTGGTAACATCGCACTATTGGCAACGTCGCATCTTAGGTTAGGGGAACGGCTCGGGCACCAGACCGATGACGTCACTCTTGGGTTAGACCCAATTTGGGGCTCACGTACAAAATGGGGCCACCATATGGGGCGGAGACCACCTGGGTTAGCCCCCCTTCAATTTGAGACTCCTCCGATAACGGGCGCGGGCCCCACAACGATTTGACAGTTCACTTCCGCTCTAGAACCCGCTTAGTATATCTACTGAGGTATTTCGATAGTTTGATTTAGAAAGTCACTTCTAAATTGAAATGGTATACTTGTTTGATCATTTACAAGACACATATTTTCAAAATCGATATTTAATTTGTTATCGTATAGAGCTTTGATACCTATAATTCCATCGAAATAATCATGAAATGAATGAATGAGCATTTCTATTTCATTTATGTTATAATCTTCTAAAATTGAAATTTCAACTTTTCCTTTAATTATTGTTGTTGTTCCCGTACATGTGGATAGTTTAGATTTTGTATTAGTTATGTACTGATTAAAATATTTTTCAGCTATGGAGGTCTTATTAATGATGCATGACTTCCAGTATCAATTAATAATTTACAAGGTGGAAATTGAATTTCTATTGAAGGTAATTGATTTATTTGGAATTCATTTAAAGTTAATGCTGATCCGAGGCTTTTAAACAAAAATTTTCGGATTCATCAAGTTGTTGTTCATCAGGATTTTCAAAATCCTGATAATCAAATTTACTTTGATTTTCTTGGTTTTCACCAAAGGAAAGTTGCACTGAAATTCCGGACATAGGTGTCGGTTTTGAAAATTGTTGATTTGTATTTTTCTTAAATACATTTGTTAAATAATTGATTTATTAAAGTTTTTTCCAAAAGTTTGTGAACTTGGACTAGTGGGAAATTTTTGTTGATAATTCGCTCTTGGCTAAATATTTATAGGTTGTGAGGGAAATTGTGATCGTTGAAATTGTGATTGTTGAAATTGTTTTTGTGGAAACTGTGATTGCACGCATTGTCTTTGAGGAAATTGTGTGAACGTTTGTGTTTTTTGTTCTAAATTAGTGAATGAACTTTGTGTATTAGTATTTTCATTAATTCAATTATTAAATTTCATATGGTTTTCAGTTAATTGGTAATTTAATACGAATGCTGTAGCTGTAGGTATCTAAAGTTTCTGGATTTTGCACCATTAAAATTGTTCCTAATTGAATTGGAGAGTTTGTGACTAGATTTTGGATTGCCATTATTTCATTCTGGGCTACCAAAATATTTGCGACTGCAACTAAATTTTGATCACTCATTATTTTAGAAGTTATTCTGTGATTTAAACTTTTTAATTTCTCTAAATAATCAAAAATATTCTCTTCAATATTTCGAGCAAAATCTTGCAAGAAATATTTGGATAGTTTAATCCATTTAAATTTATAGGTCGAGTGGTATACGGCTAGATTATTTCCTGAATAATTAGAAGCATATTAAGAGTAAGGCCAACAATAAAGAGTTCTATTATTTATTATAAAATGTCAGAATATTTCTATCAAAATTCTGTCAAAAAAGGTAAACAAAAATTTAATCGCTGATAAACAAGGTCTTGTGAAATAATCACTTATTTAAACAAAATTCATTCAAAAAATGACGTTGTCTGATGGGTCTATTTTATAATGAATGAAATAATCGCTGTTATTGCATATTCTTTGCATTTTTGCCAGTATAATATGTAGAATGAAATTCTTCAATATTACTTATGAAAAATTCTAAGTATTGTTTTTCGACACCAAAAGGCTTAAGTAATTGTACAATAGATTTCAAATTATCACCCATGGTTCTGGTTTGATGATTATTATTTCTAAATGAATGATCATTACTTGGATTATATAAATGAGTTAAGTTAAATTGGGTTAAGAGGTACTGTATTTCCTCTTCAGAATCTGACATGTATGTTTTGAATGAACATATACATAGATAGAAAAATAAAAAAATACTTTTTCAAAATAGTTATTTGTTTTACTAGGCAGAAAAGTACAAGATTTAATGCCGCGGCTGGTGTTTCATAGCCGAGGCTAGGAAACCAGCCGAGGCATTAAATCTGCTTTTCTGCCATGTAAAACATATAATTTTTTCTCCGAATGTTCAAATTCACACATGGACATCTTTTTTATATTTATTTCATTCATTATTATCCAAATAATTAAATTATTTTGACAATTGTCATTGTCACCATCAATTTCAAATACTAAATTGAGTGAAATTATTACCTGGAACGTTGTGACACTGTCACTTTTAATGCCTAGGCAGTAAAAGTCCACTTTTACTGCCTAGGCAATAAAAATACAACTTTTGATTCTGTCAAGTGTCATTAAAAGGCCGCTTTTACTGTCATTCGGAGAAAAATGTATTTTTCCTTTGCAATTTAAAAATTAAAAAACTGAAAAAAATTGTCTATAATAGAAAAATAAGTACTTTTTTTCAAAAAATTTATTATTATTATTATTAATATCATTTTTTTTAAAATTTGAAATTAAAAAATTCAAAAAAAAATTCAAAAATTCAAAATTAGGTAATTATTTAATTATGAATGTAATGTATGAAAATAAATCAGAATTGATTTATATATTTTTTTTTAGTTAAAAATTTAAAATTTAAAATGAATTAAGTATTCAGTTATCAATTATATTTTTAAAATGGATTATTTAGTCGTCAATTATATTTTTGAAATTAATTATTTAGTCAGGGCCGGTCCAATAGCTATTATATGCCGAGGCAAAGTTCCATTCTGGCGCCCCCCTTTCAAATTGTACTGTCAAAATGGTTAAGGATCAATATGATAAACAATGAATTTTAGGCTATCGTTAAGACAGTAGGAGAATGAAACAAAAAAAGTAATTTCATTTTTTTGAATAAGTATATCATATGTTCACTTAATTACATGAGGTCTGTTCTCACAGAAATCACAAACCAGTCGGAGTGTTTTTGATTGGTGCAAATCGCCAGCAACCAGTTCTCTGATAGTTTACAACCAATGAAATTCGCTTTGATGCTCTGATAGGTATGTGATGTCTGTGAGAACGGATCTATACTGTTGATATATACAGTGTGATTTTTTAAGTTTGCAACATATGGGGATTTTTTTTAGTAATAGCACAACCCAAATACAAACAAGGCCAAAAGTTGGTGCATGTCTGATAATCATATTAGGTGCACTTAGAATGGTTGCAAGTCAAACAGCATACAGGGTAGCTCAAATAATATCAAAACTGTACTGTAAAATACCCTTATGTTAGAAAATTCAGCAAAATGTTATAGAGAAAAGTTGTTTGGAATTAAAAGTTATGTCTAAATACCAAAACATAGCCTCCCAAGATTTTTTTTATTTTCTTTCGAAAAAAATCTATAATTTTTATATTTTTTTTTATTTTTTATTTCCGCCCTTAATACTTTCAAAAATTAATTAAAACCAAATCAATTTTACATAACTTTGTTCAAATTCAAACATAATTGTAAAATTAACTTAGATTTTTAATTTTTTATGGTATCACAAAATTCATGTTTGTTGCAATGATATTCAACACAACTTTAAAATGTCGCAATTTTTTTTTTAACAAGTTAAAACATTACTAATGATAATAGCCATATTAAAAAACGTTGCTTAAAGTGCAAAAGTTTTATTTTATTCAAGTAAATATTACTACAATTTTGATATTTTTTGAGCCACCCTGTATGCTGTTTGACTTGCAACCATTCTAAGGGCACCTAATATGATTATCAGACATGCACCAACTTTTGGCCTTGTCTGTATTTTGATTGTGCTATTACTAAAAAAAAATCCCATATGTTGCACACTTAAGTAATGACACGGTATACAGGGTGTCAATTTCAAAACTTTCAATGCGAATATATCTGAAAGTAAAAAAGTTAGAAAAACGTAATTTGGTACGAATGTTATACAGATAGGGGTAGGGGAACTATAGAACCAACATATTTTCGTTTTAATGACCCCTATGCACCCCAACCCCAATATTTTAAATAGCACCACCCCTTTTCTGATACCTAAATTATGATTTTTTTTTTGAAAAATTTTTGTGCAGGTGAATACTATAAGTACTCAAAAATATTTAATTTTAGGTAGGTATCACAAAAAAAGTTGTGCCATTCAAAATTTTGGCGTTGGGGTGCATGGGGTCCAAGCTCGGGTCCAAGGGGTCACTGACCCCATAACCGAAATATGATAGTTCTAGTTCCCTCTACCTGTGTATAATTATTGTACTAAATTACGTTTCTCTAACTTTTTTACTTTCAGAGATATTCGCATTGAAAGTTTTTAAACGGACACCCTATAGTATGTATTTTTCAAATTAACTAAACACAAAAATAATTTCTCAAAACTAATCAAATTATCAACACTAAAAATGAGCCCGTCTGGCTCTACGTCTTGCAAAGTCAGAGATGAGTACCTTCGTTGATAGGTCTGTTCTCACAGAAATCACAGACCAGTCAGAGGAAATTTCATTGGTTGAAAATAATCATAAAACTGGTTGTTGGCGATTTGCACCAATCAAAAACGTTCTGATTGGTTTGTGATTTCTGTGAGGAGAATAGACCTATAATCTAGCGAAAGACCGTTCAATCTATCTGGAGACAGAAGATCGAAAGTGCCTTGATGAGCGGTGACAGGTGACAGTGGTGACACGTGAATTAACTTTTACCGGACAATGTGTTGGATCTTTTATTATGTCCC